TGCGCAGCTTCTCTCATCTCCTCTGGGAGGGCAGGTGGCGGCTGGTGGCAGAACCAGCCTGTGAGCGGTGTGATGGCTCAGTGGTCCACGGCTGGCGGGGTGACTGTCTCGGGGTGGGGGGAGACGGGGGTGACAGGGGAGCCCCTCCACACCCCCAGGGCCACCGCAGCACTAGAGACCCTCCGACGAGGGAAGCCAGCCAAGCGGGCAACAAGTATTCAGCCCTGTATGCTATGGCAGCCTGGCGCGTGCCAGCGCCCCTCTTACTGGCATTCCCTGCCACCGTGCAGGAAGGAAACACAGTGGGCGAAGTGGGGACCCAGCCCCCCTGCCTTCAAAAAACAGAGCCAGGCCCAGGAGCTGGGCGGTGGTGGCTCCCATTCCCACCCACCTCGGGCAGCACCTGGTGAAAATCGCAAGACGCAGATCCGCACCCCTGCAGCCTGCTGACCGGCAGCAGAAGCCCAACAAGGGCTGGCCGCCCTGGTGACTCCCATCACACGAGCGCACTGGGCCCAACCGTGGCCTATCCCATGGCAGAGTTCCCAGTGAGGAGTTGCTGGCCAATCCGAACTCTTCTGAGATGGAAGCCCCACCCCTGGGCGGGGTCAGAGGAGCACCGCTAGGTGGCGCCTCCCAGAGCAGGTTCTCAGATCAGACTCATCTGGTTGAGGGCCCCAGATCTGTGGCTCACTAGAAAGGCAGGGTAGCTGGCTGCGCCTCAGTTTCTCCATGACACCAGCTATGAAAGCTATGTGGACCTCAGGGAGCATGCAGGAAGGAGAGTGCATATTACAAGAGGCTGAGCGATGGAGCATTTTGGGTTGCTGTGATCTACCAGTTTACAACACTGGTGGCCTGGTCACAGTTGAAGACTGGAGGGGGGAGTGGCGGGGCACTGCTCACTGAGCTGTTCTGCACGTTCTCTGGCATACATCGGACAGGCCAAGTCAACCCCAACGACAGCTCAGGCCCCAAGAGGCCTCCCGCATCCTCTGGGGCACCACATCCACCCTGATGTGGCTGCCACGCTGTACCTGTTTTTGAGAAGATGAGCTGCAGAATGAGAGGCCGCCGGGTGACGATTCCTGAGCCGCGGGGAAGGAAGTCCCTGCGAGAGGAGAAAGGGACAGAAGTTACTCAGGCATCTGGCTGTTAAGACAGGAAGTGTGACCACACGGAGTGGAACTCTGTTTTGCCAACCTCAGCACAGCCCCCAGCCTCAGCTGCACCCCCGGGGATTGCTTCTGGCCCAAGGGGAAGGACAGGACTGAAGGTCGTGGATAATCTGGGCCTGGCATTCTGGAAGGGGCCTCTCCTTGACGATCCCTCTGCCACCACTGAAAAGGAGATCAAGGGGGCATGGCTCAGCAAGTGTGAGGCCCTGAGTTCAAACCCCAGTACTGCCAAAAAGGAGTCTTCATTATTTCAAATTACTATAGTGCCCCATGTATGACATAAAGGCAAATTAAAAGGAAAACAGCAGGTAACAACTTATGACTAGATTCTTGTCCAAAAAGACAAATCCAATAGAGCACAAAGTAATGAAAGTGATTGCAAGTGGAAGAAGGAAGGAAGGAAGGAAGGAAAGAAGGAAGGAAGGAAGGAAGGAAGGAAAGGAGGAAGGAAGGAAGGGAGGGAGGGAGGGCAGGAAGGAATGTTTTTCACATTAGAAATGCACACATACCCTGTAAGATGTTAGGCGCCATACACAACTTGCTCCTCATACACATGGACTGAAGCAATGTTGGAGGCTCAGAAACCCCCCTACACCATCAAGAAAGGAAAACAGCCTGTTGCAGAGGTACAGGCCTATAATCCCAGCACTCAGGAAGCTGAGGCAGAAGGATTGAGAGTTCACAGCAAGAATTGAGGGGGACATAGCAAGATCTGTCTTAAAAAAATGGTTGGTACTGACTGTCCAAAATTCATGCAAACCAGGCAAGGTGCATCATGTCTGTAGTCCCAGCTACCTGGAAGGTTGATGCTAGTGGATCTCTTCAGCCCAGGTCAGAACCAGCCCGGAAGTGAGAGCTCATTAATATTTTTTTTTAAGCCGGGTGCTGGTGGCTCACGCCTGTAATCCTAGCTACTCAGGAGGCTGAGATCTGAGGATCGGAGGGTTATGAGGTTCCAGAAATGGCCTCCAGTGGAGAACCCGGTGGGGTGAGGCTGAGCGATGTTGGGCGGGGAGGTCCCCATGAAGGGGGGAGGGCCTTGCTCTCAGGGTAGGACCACCTGATGGGGCTTAGTGACAGCCCAGGAAGGTTAGACTACTGCAGGGGGGAGGAGGGAGGGGCGGGGCAGGGAAGGGGAGGGCAGTGGACAGACACTCCGCAGAACTGGAGGCAGTGTAGGAAGGGGCCACAGCATGCGTGGAGCAAGCTTGACTGAGGATAACCAGCACGAGCAGGAAGATGGGAAAGCCTGGGAGGAGAGGAGTCAGGGATGCGTGTGCGGCTCCCTGGAAGGCGGGGCCTCGCCTGCCTTGACATCCGGTCTCCTCCAGTCCTGGGTGGTAGAGGTGTGCTACACACCTCGGGCGCATCCTGTCATGACGTCATAGTCCACAGGCTGGCAGAGCTGGGGGCCCCCCCGGCCAGCCTCCGTGCTGTGAGCCACACCCACACCCTGCACGCTCCGCTGTCCGTCCTCAACCTCAGGTCACCTTTCCATTTGAGAGGAGGGGGGTGGAGACTTGAGGCAGGAAGAGGGGCCGCGGTCACAAGCTAAGGGTGCCTCAAGGCACTTTGTTTCTTGGGCATATTGGGGATCGAACCCATGCTAGTGTTTTGAGACAGGATCTCCCTGTCTTTGCCCAGGCTGGTCTTGAACCCACAATCCTCCTGCCTCTGGAAACTGTCCATATTGGGGCTTCAACTCTGGGCCTTGTACTCTTCCTTAGCTTTTTCCATTCAAGGATGTTGCTCTACCATTTGAGCCACAGCTCTGCTTCTGGCTTTTTTTGTCAGTTGTGGGGCTTGAAACCCGGGCTTGAGGGCTGTCCCTGTGCTCTTCAGCTAAAGACGAGCACTCTACCGCTTGAGCCACAGCACCACGTCCGGTTTTCTAGTGGTTTTTATTGGAGATAAGAGTCTCATGGCCTTTCCTGCCCAGGCTGGCTTTGAACCGTGATCCTCAGATCTCAGCCTCCTGAGTAGCTAGGATTGCAGGAGTGAGCCACCAGCGCCCAACTGCTTCTGGCTTTTTGGTGGTCCACTGAATAGAAAGTCTCATAGACTTTGCTGTCCCAGCTGCTTTGAACCACAATCCTCAGATCTCAGCCTCCTGAGGAGCTAGGACTACAGGCATGAACCACCATGCCTGGCCTCATTTTTTTTTTGGTCGGTCGTGGGGCTTGAACTCTGGGCCTGGGCGCTGTCCCTCAGTTCTTCAGCTCAAGGCGAGCGCTCTACCACTTGAGCTACAGCGCCACTTCCGGTTTTCTGGTGGTTTATTGGAGATAGGAGTCTCACGGTCTCTCCTGCCTGGGCTGGCTTTGAACCGCGATCCTCAGATCTCAGCCTCCTGAGTAGCTAGGATTACAGGCGTGAGCCACCAGCGTCTGGCTTCTGGCCTCATTTTTTTTAAGCCTGCAAAAAGTACATGTCTATGGCCAAATGATGCGGGAGCAGCAGGCAATCAAAGGCACCACACTGTGGGGTACAAGGCCTCTTGTAGGATGAGAGTGAATTCTTTCTTTCTCATCCCTGGGGATGTTTCGGGTGTTCAGCAGATGGCCAATGGCTCGGCGTTCTTCCCCCACATAGCTACTTGGCATCTCCTGCGTGGAGCATCATAAGGAACAATGAGAGCTGAGATGTAGCTCAGTCGCAACGTGCTTGCCTAACGAGTGCAACATCCTGTGTTGCATCCTCAGTACCAATAAAGACAAAAAAACAGCCAGGCACTGGCTCACGCCTGTAATCCTAGCTACTCAGGAGGCTGAGATCTGAGGATCGCGGTTCAAAGCCAGACCCACCAGGAAAGTCCGTGAGACTTTTATCTCCAATGAACCACCAGAAAACTGGAAGTGGCGTTGTGGTTCAAGTGGTAGAGTGCTTGCCTTGAGCTGAAGAGCTCAGGGACAGCTCCCAGGCCCAGAGTTCAAGTCCCAAGACCACCACCACCAACAACAACAAAAGACAAAAAACAGTTTAAAAATTAAAAGAAAAAAAAACCCTTTTGCCAGATACCATTGGCTCACACCATAATCCTAGCTACTCGGGAGGATGAGAAGTGAAGATTGCAGTTCAATGCCAGCCTGGGCAGGAAAGTCTGTAAGACTCCAAAATAATCAGCAAAAAGTAGGACTAGAGGCATGGCTCAAGTGGTAGAGTGCCAGCAGTGAATATACAAGCTAAGCATGCATGAGGGCCTGAGTTCAAACCCCAAGACTGGCCAAAAATAAATGTACTCATTGCCTGACTTATGTAACTGTAACCCCTCTGTATATCACCTTTATAATAAAAATTTTAAAAAAAACAAAAAGGAAACAAAAACAAAGGGCTTGGGGGTGGGAAGGCGGCTTAGTGGCTTAGCTTGCCTTGCATGCTCAAGGCCCTGGGTTCGATTCCTCAGCACCACATAAGCAAAAAGAACAAAGCAGGAAGTGGTGCTGTGGCTCAAGTGGCCTTGAGCTGAAGAGCTGAGGGACAGCGCCCAGGCCCAGAGTTCAAGCCCCATGACCAACAAAAAACCCCAAAGGGCTCGGGACACAGCGCAGAGGTCGGATCACCTGCCCGGCACGTGTGGCCCTGGTTCCATCCTCGCACCACAAAAAATGGTGATGATAGTAATAATAAAACAATTAATTGGCCAAGGAGGATGAAGTTGCTTGCTCGCAGACCTCTGCCCTTGTTTCTCTGGCTGACTCATGGGGTGGACTTGAACTTGAACAGGCAAAACAAGTCTCCGGCGATAGCCATCAGCACCGTGGTTTGCTCTGGGGGGAACAGACCCGGGAAGGCTGTGCGCGACAGAAACTGCGGTGGTTCCAGAGCACAAGCATCTATTAAAACACAAAACATATGGCGAAGTAACAGGACTCAAGAAACACAGGACAGACACCGGTTTTGTCCTATCATTGCTAAATGACTCCATGTTCCTGACCGTATATATGGAAGATATATACACACAACAGAGGAAAGCCAGGAAGAGGGACAGAGTAAGTAGGAGCAGCCTACACTAAGCAAGAGGAAAGGAATGTATCACCTGATGTGGAAAAAAAACAACTTGTATTGTCAAGGTCATAGAATTCACAAACTGTATAGACCATGATAATGGCAATTTGCCTTGTGAAAGTTAAAATGGGTTTGCGACTCTAAGTAGCACTATTCCACAATACTGTGAAATATGTGAAATTTATGTAATCACCTAATCTCAATTAAAGGAAAAAAGTGAGAGAAGGGATTGGTTGAGGTAGGTGACACTTTGTCAGACACTTTGTACTCAGATATTGTTTTGTAGAATGGGAACTTCTTTGTACAACTACTTGAAGATAATTAATAAAAGAAAAAAACACACACACAAAACACACCTGGTGATCATGGTTCACACCTGTAATCCCAGCTACTTAGGAGGCTGAGATCTGAGGATCACCTTTTGAAGCCAGCCTGGGCAGAAAAACTTGTGAGACTTTTATCTCCAATTAATCATAGGAAAAGCCAGAAGTGGTGCTGTGGTTTAAGTAGTAGAGTGATAGCCTTGAACAAAAGGAGCTTAGGGACAGAGCCTAGGTCCTGAGTTCAATGCCCAGGACAGGACGGGTAAAACCCCCAACACACACACACACACACACACACACACACACACACACACACACCACACACACTTCTGATCTAAAGAAATATATAAGAGCTGGGCACTGGTGGCTCACACCTGTAATTCTAGCTACTCAGGAGGCTCAGATCTCAGGATCGCAGTTCAAAACAAGCCTAGGCAGACAAAGTCCATGAGACTCTTAATTCCAATAAACCACAGCAAACCAGAAGTGGTGCTGTGGTTCAAGTGGTAGAATGCTTGCCTTGAGCTGAAGAGCTGAGGGACAGCGCCCAGGCTCCTTGACAGAGCACTCGCCTGGTGTGTTCAAGACCTGGGTGAGCTGGGCAC